ATGAACGTTGACCAATTAATTGTCTTCAATAAAACAACAAAAAAAAAGAAAAAAAAGAAAAATTCATTAAATAAAATGATTTTCTGATAAAATCACATATTAATCAAACTTACTCAGGTGCTCCTTGTCCTTGATCACCATAACCAACAGTATTTACTACTTCAGCAGTATGATGACGATGATGTCGATGAGAACGTCGATGTAGTTTTACTCCCGGACCTACCGGACCACCAGCTGGAGGACCTTGGCCAAAAGGAACACCTTGATAATGATTCGCAAATCCAAAATTACCACGACCAAATTGTTGTTGTAGTTGTTGTTGTGGTTGATGTTGTTGTTGTGGTTGATGTTGATGTTGTTGTTGTTGATGTTGTTGTTGTTGATGTTGTTGTTGTTGATGTTGTTGTTGTTGTTGTTGTTGTTGTTGTTGTTGTTGTTGTTGTTGATGATGATGATGAAAACCAGCTGGACCACTAGCACTAAAACCACTGACACCATATGGAACACCATAACCGCCACCGCCACCGCCACCACCACCACCACCACCACCACCACCAACAAGACCTATCTCATTATCTATAAATAAATTACTTGTTATTTTTAATTGAGATTTAAATATTCTTATATTTACGCTGTAGATAATGATGTTGACCATGATCTACCTTATGTATTGATTCATCACGGCTTACTGGTGATACATCATTTTGACCTTTATTCTTATGATGACGATGATGTCGATGATGATGATGATATTGCATGGGCACTTGCTGTCCACCAAATCCAGGTACAAGAGGAATGGCGCCAGCATTAGCAAAGCGCGGATCAATCATTGCAAATTTTCCAAATAAAAAGCACTAATAATTCAAACACTGATCTACAACAAAAAGCGGAAAACAACGAAGAAGAAGTTTACCTATAACTATGATATTCTTCATTCTTTTTTTTTTATGCCTATATTCTATCGAATTTTTTTTTGTCATTCAATTATCGTACATTCGAGGTTAATGATCGAAACGACAATTTTGTGGTTTTTCATTCTATTCTGTGTTAATGTAAGTTGCATAAAAATCGACCAAAAAAAAATTCATTTTTTACACGCGTATGTAGTTATTAATTTACCATCTCACACTCGGTCACACAGTTATACACATAGACATACGTAGATCGATTGCTACAGATCGAACACAACTACGACTATCACTACTAGGAGACAACAACGACGACGACAATCCTCAACAATAGCAAATATATATACTACTTCATATTTATGTTCGTTTGAATTACATTGAAAAGAGAGAAAAGATGAAGAAAAAAAAAATGAGTGTGTCGAGTAAAAAGCGACGACAACTAAATACACATATCTTATGCTTCATCTCAAGCGTATCGTTTGTGTGATATAGGGAATATTAAATGAACGGAGAAAATGGCGAGAAAGAGAGGAACAGAGAGAGAGAGAGAGAGAGAGAGACATCAAGTGACGACATAGATAGATTAATGCTCCTTTCATTATAAACATGACCAATAAAAAAAAATAATTGAAAATTGCCAAAGTGTTTTGTTTAAATACACTAAGCTTAATATCTATGTTTGATTATTAATATATTCATTTTCATATATCATTAATTATTTGTCACATAGTGTCAACGAACTAATTTTGATCTGACCATAAATGATATATATTTTTGAAACATATATATTGCTGAATAACAAGGCTATTATCTTCAAAAATAATAGATATCCTTGAAACAATGAGCCTTTCAATATAGATATTTTTCTCGGATAACTATATGATATCTGTCATGTGTGAAAAAAAAAGTAATTATCATTACGAAAAAATATATATTAAAATATCTATACAAAAAAAAGATAATAATAAAAACTAATAATGATTACCTATATCAATTGATTGATATTTTCTTTTTACATGAATATACTATAATATACTATAAATACTATCCTACCTGTTTATTTAGTTATTATAATTATATTTAATTTTCTAAGAATTCTTCATCAAATTTTTAATATCGAAAAAAAGAAATGATGATAGTGATGATCTAACAATCACACAACTATTGTTGATAAAAGAATGTTTGTGAATGAGTTTTGATAATATGATAGATGGACTATATATGCATTATATTTTTGTGATGTACGTTATACGGACTCATCTTGATGTTCGATATGAATTGGTTAAACCAGAAGAATATCTTCTTTTCTTTTTTTTTTCTTCTTTATATATGTAGGATGCAGTCAAGCATGACCGATCCTTGTCTATTTTACATTTCTCTTCTTTTTTCTTTTGTTACTTTTTTGAACGAACACCAACGAAATTGAAAGGTTAAAGTAAAGTAAAAGATAAAAGCACAGTTTGCGGTTAGATGTGTCTATGTTCAAACCAATCAACGATATTACACCACAGATCATTGTACAATATAACGAAAAAGAAATTCAGAGTTAATTTTCAACATTCCATAACAGCTCTCTCGCTCATTGTTGCAGTATCTTACATTTTGTGGCAATGATGAGGAAATCAAATTTGAAGGACAAGTACCATTTAGGCAAGGCTATTAATATGTATCGAAATAGAAAATTATAATGAGTATCATCATTTATAGTTCAGGGATGATTTGATTGAGAAGTAAAGACAATTCTAAAATATTTTTAGTAAAATGATTTTAAACTGTTTATCGAATCGTTTATGGTTACAACGGAAATATAACAAAAAAAAAAAAGAAAGATAAAAGTTAAATAAAAATTATTGAAATGAAAGAAAAACAAATAACCAGAGAAAACATTTGTCAATTATATTATACGAAGACGACTTTCATCAGCAGCTTCTTGTACAACAGGATGATCAAAATAATCAATAGGTGGTTCAGTATACACATCTTCAAAATCATCTGTTTCATCGTCATCATCACCATCATCATCTTCGTCTTCATCATAATCTGGACTTTGAATATCATTTTGTTCATTAATAACAGGTTCCATTTGAAATGTTACACTTTGTTTTGGTACTTTTGTAATAGGTGGTACAACTAATTGAATATCTAATTCACGTAAAACTTCAGCTACTTCTTGACTTGTCATACCAGCTATATCAGAACCAGGTTTTAATTTATATTTTCGATGTTTTTCAAATAATTTTGTACTAGCTAATATTTCAATAAATGTACCCCAACGATGTAAAAGCATTGTAATAAATTGTATTAACATACATGATGCAAAAAATATCATAAATAATAAACCTAACAATTGTACTTTTGTACCAGATTGTCCAAATAATTGACCAATATCAATCATTAATTCTGTAAATTTTGTTGCAATATATTCAAATTGAAATTGTAAAATAATCCAAATAGCATTAAGCATAAAAAATGCAAAACCAGCATTATTTCTTAAATTAATTAAATCATTTTGTATACGTCGTTCTTCTTCTTTATCTTTATTAAGTGGTGTTAAATATTTTGATAAAAGTTGTTGCCAAAATGTTATTTCATCTGTACGAAGATAACCAATAACTGAATCTTCACCAAACCATGATAATTCTGACCAATATGGATTAATCATATTATTTCGAGATTTATTACATATTGATGTTGTTAATGTTGTATTTGATGAATAATTATCATGTAAATCATTTTCATTTGATATAATAAGTAAATCTGTATTAATTGTTTCATGTATATTAATATCTGAAACAAAAAAAAAATCGTTTTAGTCTTCTATAGAATATGTAAGAAGTATTTTGATTCAAAAATATGGAACTTGACTTATAAATAATTTCCTATCTTGAAAAGCTCCAAATAATGGTAAAGTCAATAAATCTATGAAGATTTTACTGTGAAAATTGTTATAAACTTTATTTGTTTATTAAGATGACTCAATAGTACAGATTATCAATCTACTACATTTAATTTTACTTATTCGAACCTCAAATCCTTATTAGACAAACTCTTTGGCGATTATATGAAACATTCTGTTTAATATCGAAGTAATTCTAATAGATTTCATAAAATACATTTTTAAATTTTACCGTTTAATTTTTTTGTTTCATGATTTGAATTTTCACAAGCAAGTTTAGTAATAATTTGTTGTAATAACATTTCTTGTCGTTTAGCTGTTGGTCGAAAAACATTTTCAATAACATCACCCATTTGATGAATAAATCCACGTTGTCCATCATTACTATTACCCCAAAGCATATCATTAAGAACATCTGTTGTTCGACGTTTTTTCGGATCTAAATTTCAATACAAAAAAAAAAAAAAACAAATCAATGAATTAATTAATTTTTTTATTACCTTCCGTAACAATTATTTTTTCGCCTGATTTATTTATTTTCTTTTTTTGTACAATTTCAACTGTTTCTCTTGTACCCCATGAAACAACATGTAAATTACATAAAGCATAAGTAACAAGTAGAAGATAACCACCGGGAATTGTTATAAGATAAAGAAAACCATGAATTAAATTAAACATTTCCTTTGGATGAAGTAAACCAGTAATAATAAATGTTATAGCAACACTAGGTAAAAAAACTGCACTTGGATCTAAGAAACCTGATTTAAGAATTTGTGCAGCTGTTGCTACAAGTACCATTGACATAACCAATGCATAGATAGCTAAAATTTATTTTAAAATAAATTTATTTGATATCAAATTTTCAATATATATATATTCTACCTGTCATAATAGCACCAATAGCAATTTGTGTATTTGATTTTGTTTTAAGACATACAAGTATATAGAAAAATGCTGGTAAAATTGATATTGTATATGATTCAGCTATAGTTAATGCTGAAAAAACAGTACGTAATGCTGATGCAATTGTTAATAAAATAGTTCCTGGTCCTAAAATTGTTGATACAAATAGAACAGCTTGATAGAACATATATAATTTTGAAATATTTTCATTAACATATGTTGTATGTTTTGTATCTTTAAGTAAATCAACTATATTTGCCATTGTTGATGGCATCCAACGACGACGTTGATTAAAAAATTCTTTAAATGTTTCGGGTGCATGTGTAAATGCATCCGATGCTGCACAATATTCAACACGATAACCTTGTTGAAGAAGAAGTGTTGTTAACCAACGATCTTCTCCTAGATTATTTAAAAATATATGAAATAGAAAATTTAGTAAATATAAAGTGCAGGAAATCGATAACTGTTGAAATTGATTTGCAATAGAATTAGTCGTATCGCACATATTTGTGTTATTCACAGATCAATTGAAAAAGTCAATGGCCATCAAATGTACATTGAATCTGACTGTTGATAATAATCAGCACTTTTTATCTGACTATCTCATGAGCGACTAGGTGCTGAGGGGACTTACGTATATTTCAAATATTTTTGATAAACTTTTTTTTTTTATTGAAAAATTTATTCTTGATCGTCCTCTTCAGGATGGAGTCAAAAAGTGAATTTCACCGAAAAGTTATTTTGACAATGGGAATCAAGTTCTAAGATTATTAAACCGTAGTAGAACTCCAAATATCAGATGAATAACGAATAAAAAATAGAGTTTTTATGAAATTCATTTTGCATCCAATCCTAAGAGGGACCAGGGGTAAATTTTTCGACGAAGTTCACTTAGTTTGGAATGTTAATTCAGAGTGTCATATTAATTTTCTTCTCGAACAATGTCATTAGAATTTCTTTTCGTGATTAGTGTTTTTTCCCTCAATACTTTTATATCATTTTGAATTACTCAAAAAAGTGCTATCAAACTATATGAAAATGGCCTAGTCATTCATCAGATAGGAGATAGATAAACAGAGCTGATTATCATCAACAGTCGGAGTCAATCTACGCACATGTGGTAGTCATTGACTATGTTAACTAACATATGGACAAACATAAATATAAGTGCTATATGATTAACTTAATCGTGGGTCAATTTCAACATTTATCGACTTTCTCCCACCTCCCCGCCCCCCTTTTACCTTGATCATATTGTACATAATGTGCTGCTTCAGTTGATTTATCTGCATAACGTCGCATAACATTATCATCCATTAATGATGAACCACGAAAAAGTGAAAAACAACCAGGACAACAAAGAACACTACCTAATTTATGTTCAGCAGCTTTTTGAAGCCAATGACCAACAGCATATTCAAATTGTTGATACCAAACAATAGGTCCTAGAATAAAAGCCAAAAACGAAAAGATTTTGTTTTTTTCTTTGAATTTAAAAAACACAGTTTTTTTCTTTTACCATCACCCGTCGGATGAATTCGACCACAAGCTGCTGCTACTTTTGGATTTTTACGCATACGATCAACTAATAAAAGAACAGCTTCAGGTTTAAAATCAACATCTCCATCAAGTGCTAAAACGAATGTATTTTGAGCCTAAAAAAGAAAAAAAAATCTATCTCAAATAAAATTTTTTTTTTCAAATATTTTCAATATACAGCAATCTTTTTATCTTCTGATAAATTTCTTAAAAATTCACTAAATCCAATAAATTCTGTATCTAATCTTGTTGTATGTTGTGATACATTATGTCCACCTTGTTTACGACGTAATAATTTAAATGAAAGTAAATAATACATATACATAACCTAAACAAAAAAAATTTTTAAATTTCTAAATCAATATATTTTTTTTGTTTTCTTTTTAATTTAAATTAACTAACTTGACTCCATCGTTTTTTATGTCGAATTAAACTTTTATCTTTCATATGAACAATTAAACGATTTTTTCCTGGTAATAACCAAACAAGACGTCCACCATAAGGTGTTGGAATTTTAATTGGATCTTCGACAATTTTTTCTACACCATGAACATATCTAAATAGATTTTTTTATTTGAATAAAAGAAAAAAAAACAAAACAACAACAACAATAACATACGCTCCAGCAACATTAACAGCAGGAACTAATTGTCTAACATAACGATTTGGTATACGATTACCATTTTCATCATCTTCAAATGCATCATCAAATAAAATATGTGTTTCAAATCGATAATAATCAGGATCAAGTATACGTAAATTTTTTTGAACTGTTCGACGAGCATGTTGATCAGAATCAAGTCTATAAATACGTACAAAACAAAAAAGTTAACGAAGAATACAATAACTAAAATAAGTTTCTTTTTTGAAACAGGATCTAAAAAAATGTGTTGAAATTTAGAAATAAAAATTTGACCTTCCAACCCTTTTCCACACAAATCGTGATAGATGTTACCGTGAAAACGTTAAAGGCCGTGATAGACACTAATTAAAGACCGCAACAGAAAATTTAGTAACGCACCTTTTCCACTTCGTACGTCACAGACCGTGACTAATGTTGTTGACATATGATCAAAAGACCGTATATCAATAATATCTTATTATAATATTTCAACTATTCATTTATTGTGTATCTAGAAGATTAAGTCGAAGGACGATAAAGAAATGTGTTGCAAAATCGATAGAATAAAACAATCTGTTTGTGATTAGTAAGAACATTTTAATCGTGCAGAAATTATGCTAACAGCTTCTTTCTGTTTTTTTTTAATTTACCGAAAGATTGATTTAAGTAATTGAACCATTTCATTTGTAGTTTCATGCCACATTGTTGCACATACATAAATCATTGGTACAGGAAATTTTCTTTCAAGTGTTAAATCAGGTTCAATTTGATCTGTAAATAAAAACAAAAAAACAAAAGAAGAAGAAATTAAGACATGAAAAAACAATCAATAAGAGATTTTTTTGTTTTTTACCTTTCAATTCTGTTTCATCTTTTTGTTGTTTATTAAGTAATAAATTTTGTTCAACAATAGCTGATTCATAATAAGGAAGAACAAATAATCTAATAAGAAAAAGAAATTAATTTTAAATTAAATAAATAAAAAATTTTTCAATACAAACTTATAAATCATTGCTAATCGTTCAGTTGTTGGAAACCAAACATGACTTGTTATTTTCATTTTTGATAACCATAAAAGCAAAAATCCAATTAAAGAAATAATTAAAAGTTTGGAACCAAGTGCTATAAAATAATCGATATTTTTTATTTTGTCTTAAATATATTGCAAAATTTTATTTACCTTGTGGTTTATCGAGATAAAAAAGATGACCAATAGCAATAATATCTTTTTTATTTTTAAAACCTTGAACAAAAAATAATACTATATAAGCAATTAATGTTGATAATGTTAATGGTAAGGAAAAACCAAAACTTTGCATTAATACCTAAATAAAATAAATTTTGCACTCCGATAAAAACAAATCTAATTCTTCTTACTTTACATGCAATACGTCCAGTATAATAACAAATACATGATGAAAGTATTTGTATAATTAATGGTATATAAACTTCATATGTAATACGAAAAAGATCTATATTTTCATCAAAAAGACCACCACCAAGAACTCGACTAATATTTGTATCACTATAACCAATTGGTATTTGTTCAAAAATGGATAAATATAATTTTTTATCAATTGTTTTTGGTAAAAAATAAATAGCTGTTATTATTAATACAAATATTTTTAAAAGACTTGCTGTAATATAAATTTTTGGACGAGTTTTTCTTAATGATCTTATACCATTTTGAAACCTTTTGAAAAAATTTTGTTTTGATATACGAGTTTCAATAAAACTTTCCCAATAACCCAGTGATATAAGAAAAAGTGCTAATGGTAATTGCCATTGAAATTCATTAGAGAATTTTTCGTTTGTTGAAAGAATATATGGAATAAAACATGCCGTTAATTGCATAAGAAAAGATGCAATATCAGTTAAAAATGTTAAAACTTTCAATGTTCGATTAAGACCACGATGAGAAGAAAAAAGATTTAATATTGCAGGTATTATACATACACCATTTAATATAAATAAACTAGTTACATTATCTATTGAAGGTAATATACGAAAGACAAGTAATGATAAACCAGCTGTATGACATGCTTCAACAATATGAACCTAAAAATAAGATAAAATAGAAATACAAATCTTTTCTTTTGTTTATATACCCATATAGCAAGAAAAAATGGTGGAGAATGTTTTATACAAAAAACCGATAATTGAACACTGTGTATAAATGTTAATAGATATGGTACACTCATAGTAATAATTAGAAGTATTTGCCATCGAATAATATATATTTTAGGCTGGAAAAGAAAAAGAAAAAACAAAACTTGTCTATTTATTTTTTGTTTTGAATAGATTAAAAATACTAATAATAAACCTGTTCACGAGTTTTATATGCATTAATCATTGTAAATAAACTAAGTTTACTAACAACAGCGGATGTAAGAACAACACAAAAAAATATAATATAAATACATATTTTAACAATACGACGAAATGTAAGTCGTCGTTCTTTATTTGTACTTTGTTCTTGTTCATAATGACGACTTGTTACATGTGCAACATCCCACCAATAAGTATTATGATTATTTCCAGTAATACTATTCTTCCTAAAAAACAATAAAAGAAAGAAAAGAATCAGTTGTTTTGTTTTTGAATGAATTTAAAATTTACTTAGATTTAATTGATTCATTCAATAAACATGCTGAATTTTGTGAAGAATGTGGTTTTGTTGTTGATCTAGGAGGAGGTGGGGGTGGAGGTAAAGGTGGTCGAGATCGACGCGTCATTCTATTGTTATATGTGCCGACCATATGTGATGGTAAATGTAAATATGTGTTTTCCTTATACATCTATCTATCTATATATATATGTCTACTATGTTGTGTTGTGGTTTGACACAAGTTAAACGGACGAATACAAGAGAGAAATGAGATAAAGTTAAACTAGATGATATCATTTTACAATTCTATATACATAGTCATCATCGCTCGTTCTGTTTCCTAGAAAAAAAAATTAGTCACTATGAAAAAACTAGATAGATAACTGGTGTATATAATAGTTCTATTGTTTTTCAAATTAAATTTAATATACAAATATTCTTAGAATATCAATTGTATTATTATTATTTAAATCACTAAAATGAATAAGATAATAAAATAATTATTTGTATTGTTACCGGGTGAAGAATCTATTGGATAAAAAAAACCAATACATAAAATATATCTTATCATGATAAATCAAGAGATACATACTTATAAAGATGGGTTAGTGAGGTTTGAACCTCATCAGAATTTGGCGTTATTAGGCTCAACCTTACATGAATTATGACTTTCTAAGGCTTAGTTACATTCTTGTATATGCCGTTGTTTGGCTAGATGAATCTTATTTTAGTCCAAAGATTGAAATATTTTACATGTTTATTTATATATTATAATGAAGAAAACTGAGAAATTGAGACGGTAGTAAAGCCAGCGATCTATGTCGCCATGATTCATTCAAATATTTGTTGTCTTCTCTTTCGTTATATTATCATGCACTTCATTTGATACGAATGGAAATACAACTCTAATAATCAAAAATGTTAGAAGAAAATAATAAGTAAATATAGTTTAAAATGAGTTTATTTGTATACTTATTTGAATTTCGGACTCTCTTTTATTTTATAGACTCATTCGACATCAATGACTCTATTGGAATGGTAGAAGATTATCATTATATTTTCTATGTTCACAATATGATTTTATATTAATGTATATTTGATCAGACAATAGCTGCTTTCTTACAAGTATAATAGCAGGAGCTGGATCAATTTTTCAATATTTAAAAAAAAAGCAAAAAGCCAAACGCTGTCATCTTTATTCATAGAACTAAACAGTCTGAAATAGTTGATGACTTGAACTTTGCTAAGTTCTGTATCAATGTAATATGTAAAAAGATTACTTAAAACAACAAATAAACTTCTATTGAACCTTATCTCATTTAAAAATATTCCACTGTCCTTCATTGTAGTCTTTGACTAATGTTCCGATATATGATTTTAACTTTTTCTACATAGACTTGTTCAACTCAGTAGACATTTTTCAAAAGAGAATATTATAGAAATTATAAATTCATTGTGATAATTTTATCGATCATACTTTACTTGCTCTAAAACATAATCCTTTTTTTCTCGCTATAAAAACAATGTTTCCTTAATTATAAACGAATGACATGATAGTGAACAGTTTCAGAAAGAACGTGCAGCAAAAGGATGAAGAGAAGATCTATCGTGTGTTATTTGCCAAAGAATGAAGTATATTATCTTAAAAATGTATGTTTTGTTTTTCTGTCTGATATGTACTCACCACGAAGGATCTGATAGTTGAATTCCGTTAGACATTTTCAAAAAAAGCTATTAGATTGGATAGGTTGAGAAACAAATTGAAGACTCACTTTTCAAAGAATTCTGACTGCTCGGAAGCATCGAAATCTAGTAAAAAAATAATTATGTCAAAATCGACCAAGATCTGATTGGAATTCTTAGGACTTAATAGAATCCAACAGAGGTACATATTTCATTTCTTCATCACCTACACTTAGTCAATTTACTGTGATTCAAAAAAGAAGCAGACAGTACATTTGCACAACTAAGTTCTTTCTCAAACAAAATTTAACATCAGACGTCGAGAGGACAATAAGAGTTCAAACAAGCAATTTTTTTCTAACATAAATCATTCAACAGAATTTGAATTAACTTTGATGAATTTGTTCAAGTAAATGATATTTATCCTCCAATGAACAAATCGCTTTTCCGTCGAAACTATGTAGAACTCAAATGAGCTCATGTTCTTAGCTTATTACTGCGAAGATACTGCACGTTTATAGTATGTTTTAAATGAATGCTGTGGTAACAGAAAAAAAACAATTTTTGAATTTTGACTTAAAACTATGTATAGAGACAAGCTTTAACGAGAATAGTTTCAGGTTTTTTTTTGATCTTCTTCTATCCGAAAATAAGAACATCGAATCTGCCAGTTTATGTGAGCGATGTAAAAGACACGGTATTAACATAGTTGTATCTTAAGATAGGAACAGCGACAAGATGTGAAACATTCACAAAAGCCTATTCTCGTTTTCAGAGTACTCAGACAATCATTTGAATCTACATAATGCACATAATTTCGACTCACGAACGGTTTATCATTTGGAGACCTTCTCTCGTTAGTTCTGAATATTTCATCGTTGATAAACATTCTTCACAACATAATGCTACTAATTTTATTCGATTTGAACAATCTATTTAGATCTATAACAATATCTATTATATAAAAATAACTACAAGTCAATAAAATTAAACAAGAATCCCAACTATGTTTGTCATATATATATATAAATATACATATAATACACAAAATAATAATTAAAAAGAAGTAAATCTCCATCTGACTTGCATCGATGTTTTTCTTTTTTTTTAAACTTTAGATCAATAAAAAGAATACGAATTAAATTGATTGAATTGAAGCAATCGATGAAGATGAATTTCCATTTGTAGATATTGATTTTGATTTAGTAACAACTGTTGTTGGTATAGATATATTATCATCATCGAATGGTGTATCAAATTTTCGTTTTAAAAAAGCATAAACAGGATAAGTAAATGCATTTGTTGGAATAGCACGAAGTGTACATGGTAAAAATCCTCGAGTAAAAACTTGCCATCCTTCATTACGATATGATTGAATTATACAATCCCATACATTTTTATAAACATGATCTCTTGCTGCTTGATATCGACTTTTAACAACATCAAATGGATAAGATACAGTCCAAGCAGCCATACCAGTAAAAGCACCTCCGATTAAACTCATATGCATAGACATATCACCTTCTTTACCAGTTGGTGAAAAATGTGAAACAAAAAATTGCCATGCTGGAAAATAAGCAGCAAATGATGGTAAATCACGTGCAAGTGTCACTGACAAACCACGCATAATACCATATCGAAAACCTTGTCTTGTATAAGATTTTTTTAAACAATCAATAGGACCTTTATATAAATGTGTTGATAATGTAAATAATTTTCGTTGTTGTCCAATACCTTGCATTTGTAAACGTGTTTTAACAAGTTCAATAGGTGAACAAATAAATGCTTGTACACCACCGGCAATACCACCTGTTATTACTAATGCTAAATATGTATCAGGATTATCAAATAAACCTTTTGAAAGATTTTGTATAGAAAAAACAATTCCATTTATAACTGCAACACCAAACATTGGTGATGACATGCCTTTATAAAAACCTAATATTGATTCTTGTTTTGCTATTTTAATAAAACAATCTAATGAACCCGAATATAATCGATGATGTAATGTTTGTGTTTGAAGACGAACTTTAACTGTATCAAATGGATAACCAGCTATTGTACCAGTTACTCCAGCTATAAAACCAAAACCAAAATCTAACGCCATTGATTAGTATGATACTGAAATGAAAAAGAAAAGAAAAACCGCACACAACAATTAATACTTTTGTATAGTATAAAATTGACCTGATGCAATGTCAAAACAAAAATCAACCAATACTTTTTTACTCAATAAATTGATATGATGCAATTCAAGTGTGAGGATATATATAGAGGTATTTGCGTTCGGTTTTTTATTTTCCTTCTTTCCATGTGCCAACGATATAATACAAAGAATATAAAAGTGGTTTATTATTGCTAGATATTTTTCCTTTCTTTTTTTTCTTTTCGTAATGCAATGCATTCTATTTAATCGATTGTCCTTGTTAGTTGGTTGCTCTTTAGACTCTACCGAAAGAAGCAGAATAACAAAATTGACATACGCAAAAAAAAAATTACAGTATCGGCACCTTTTTTTTTCAATGAGAAGGTTTCGCAATTGATCGAATTTTATTTATTTAAGTACATATGGGCGTGGGTAATAGATAACCTTTTTCGATTTTTATGACATAAGGGCGCAAGATAACGAATATCCTTTTTTTTTATAAGCATAAAAATTGTATTATGAATATCCAAACATGTGATGATGATGATGATGATGATGATGCAAGAGATATGATTGTAATCAAAGATTAGTAATAAAAATTATTTTTATAATAAAAAGTAAATTTTTCAATTAACAACGAAAAGTTTTTCATATGTTTATATTCGAAAGAAACTACAAAATGACATAAGAAAATCATGTTAATTTCTCAAAGAATTCTACACGAAAAAAGAACTTATGAATGAATAGCAACTTTTCGATACAATAATCACGAAAAAAAAAACGGAAAATTGACTTTTATGTTACACAACTAAAGTTTCTCAATGATTTATTAAATATTAAATAAAATACATGTTGTACAGTTCAATTTCTGCTAAATTCAATAATAAAATTCATTGTACTTTAGAAATGTGTAAGGTCACCCTACTTTTCAAGATAAGGTTAAAAAAACCTTTGCTCAGTGAGGGTATGAAAAAAAAGATTACTTTGCATATCTTTTTTTTTTTATTTATTGACAAATTCAAGTGACTCTAGCCAATATTATAAGAAAAACAATTAGACAGGGAATAAATCTACTTGCTGAATTAAATTTCTATTAGGTAAGAATGCAATGATAATGGTGAGAGATCAATGGACTGTACATCCAATCGAGAAATTTAACGGTAGGCTAATGGTGATGATCATATTTTTGGAACTATTCAACTCGCTAAGCATAAATCTATTTGATTAATACAAAGAAGCCGGTTTCGTCGTCGTTTTCTTATGTGTCTTTGATCTTAATATTAATGATTAAAAGCGCA